GTATTTTACATTATTTTGATATTTTTAACTATTATTGGTCTCGTATAAAATAAAAGCTGTATTATGATATTAATAAAGTTATATTTTGGAAGAAATATAAAAGTACAATAAAATTTAAAAAAAGGGTATTGTAAACAGAAATTTATCTTGCCACAAACTTAAAAAAATAAACAAAATTATAGCAATTATAACAAGTGGAAACAAATTAACTTAAAGTATTCTTTCAAATTAAAACAGAAAATAATTTAAACCCAAAAAATATCAATAAGGCTCTAAAATCAGAGACCTAATTACAAAAGACATACTTAAGTAGTAAGTAAAACTATGAAAAACTTAAAATAGGTATGTTATTTAATTTATTTGCCATTTAACTTATCATTGACCACAGTTATTGATTTAATTACTGAGTTATTTACTTTTCCTTCAAAAAAATAGTGTTAGTCTGAAGATATTTATTATTCCATCTGTCCGACAAAAATGGCTATATTTTTGGAATGGAATAAGATACGAAAATGCCTTTAAGGCTCAAATATGCGGCATGTTTTAGGTGTTTTGAAAATAGGGAAAAGCCAATATCGCCATAACCGGACTTATTTAATTTTCCAACTACGGGGACGATATATCACAGGGTCACAGTAATCTGACACTTGTATTTGCATAATCATTAGTTATTTAAACCACAAAGCCATTTACCAAAAGTTGAAGTTATTTAAATAAAGACGTGTCAGGAAGGAAGAGTATAAAACGTACACGCACACTTAAAATTTAATAGAAAATTATTGAGAAATAAACGTCGTAAATAGTGTTGTAAAATCGCAAATGTATTTTAAGTATTTTTTTAGATAATAAACTGTCGTACTCGTGATCAGAAACAATATTGAGCTATTGTTATCTTCTCAAAATTGTTTTCATTGTCATAGACTTTTCTTATCTCTAATATTGTTTCCCTCTATGATATGTCACTTTTCAATTCACAATATTATTTGAGAAGTGACAATCACAAAGGTTTTATTACTATTTATGTTTTTAAATGGAACTTGTTTTGTTACGAATGAAAACCTTTTGTCACCTTTAAGTTATCTTGGTTGTTTTATTTGGTTTGTGACTAAATGTACTAAAAACCTGAACAAAAATAAAAACTGATTTTTATATAACTGTATAAACATGTTTATGTCATGTTTTTTTACCAATTTCTCTTTGCTTTCTTTAGGATCTTCGCCTAATAAACACTACCTAACTCATGTCCGGTTATTCATGCATGATAAGCTATTCAATCAATAATATTAGAAGCATATCTTTCAAATTTCGAACAGGTTTGATAGTAACTAATTAAGTCGTAAAACGTAACAAATAAACACATCGCAGAACACCATTATAGTTCCATGAATATTAAAGCAAAACTTTCATTTAGCTACAATCTGTACAGGTACGTACCGAATTTAACAGACTATTATAATCGCTTACGTAGCCGTCAGTTTTTAAGTATTTTGAGATCAAATAATTTCATCATGTAATTTAGATTTAAAACGATAATTCAGCCAAATGTTTAACATACTTTACAAAGGTTTAAACAATTTATTGTGTCGGTTTTGGCATACATTTTTTAACCTATGAAGTTAGTGTGATTCGACTGCACGGATGGCGTAGTGGTTTAAGCTTTGCTGGTTCCTACTGCGCTAAGTGTTGTGGGTTCGACCCCCACACAACTCTTTGAGCGATCCACAAATTGTTGTTCTGAGTCTGGGTATAGGAATATAGAAACAGAAATATAGAATGACATTAAAGGCATCATTTCTGGTTTTACTGTAAATAATAATAAAAGCGAATACAAGTTTTGTAAAAATTATATTTATAAATTATTAAAAGAGAAATTTGGTTCCAAAGAGCAAGATTGTTCTTGGAAGATGATTTTAGACGTGATTTGCGTTTAGTTCAGTAACACGAAAGTTAGCAGACGAGACGTCGTATAGAGTTTAAATGAGTCTGCAAAAAATATTTATAGCTGGATAAACACACTTGTCACTGTCAAAAATTAAAATTGAATAAAATCTAAAACATTTTCTTTTGGCAAATGTTACATTAAAAATGCAGTTCACGCACTAAAGGTTTCGAAAGTGTATTAAAGATTGACGATTTCGATTTGTTATTTTGCCAAAAGCAACGGTCACTACAGTTTGATTTAGCAAATATCTACTACATTGTTTAGTGTATAAGTAAGGGATAAAATAAGAAAGGAGACAATTAGTTTCATTTAAAAAACAATTATAGCAGTATTTACTATTTAGTATGTTTAACTTCAAGCGTGACATAGACAAAAAAAAATTTTTGTTTCTTTTTTTCAAATCTGGCCAATCTGGGTCTTTAATTTTGCCTATATTACTGAACTGAAATGGTAAAGGACATCGGTTTAACGGCCTACCTGCATGTTTGTGAATTCAGTTATATAATAAAACACAGCTACCAAAGAAATATAGTAGTATAATATTAGTCGCAATTCTACTGTAACTAGGGCAGAGATTAATTGTCCATGATCACATTTCATGAGTGATCGCATCATTGGGCTGAGATCTAATGCAAACGGCCTACATACAGATTTAGAATTCCAGGCACCATAAATGTGATCATGGTTATTAGAAAAGCTGTTTTAAACCATATTTTTACAAGTTTAAGGATTATTTTTCTTAGGATCTGTATTATTATTACTCTTTAGACTAAAACCATCGGAGCGAAGGGCGTTAAGGACGCGTTGTCCTTAGGTGATCGTTTTTTTTTATTTGACTAGCTATTGTTTAAAAAAAGGTCCATTGTAAACAGATTACAATATTCTTATTATTAAATTTTACTACAAATCAAATTTGAATTGAATTACAGTCAATCTTCGTGTCCACACTAATATAAAAATTAAAACTTTTTTTTATTCCAATTATTTTCTGTGTCGTAAGGCCTGTCCCGTATACCTTATAGTACTGCTTTAAAAAAATCAACCTGAATTGATTTTATCATACTTATAATTTTTAGAAATCACTCCCAGAGACTGCAGGAAGGCAAGATAAAAGATGGTACACACCAAAGAACATTATTCATTGATTAGTTTAATTATTCTTCTACAAAAATGTCAGCATCAGCAGGAAGTCGAGACATGAGCCTGGTAGACGTTTTTTTTATAACTTTACACATTTTACACACGGCCTCAAGTGCTATGGTAACCAGCCTGCTGATAAACATACATATATTTTTCTAAAAACACACATATCCGCTAGTATGCCCATGTAGACTAGTGGTCTACAAAAACGAAATCCTAAAGTGCCCGTGTAGACTAGCAGTCTACAAAAATAAAAACGGAAAGTGCCCGTGTAGACTAGTAGTCTACAAAAATAAAACCGTAAAGTGCCCGTGTAGACCGGTAGTCTACATGGCTCCTGCCACAGATTAATTAGTATTTGACAGTAATTGTATTGACATAATGCTCTTTAGTAATATTTTTTCTATAGTCTGATATATTATCTATGGTATTAATCTCCGTCGAGCATGCAAACACTAGTAAAAAAAAGAATTATACGTCATAAAACTTCTGTCATTTCATCAGTCTTCGAATCGTTCCGTGCAGTGACTGTGTTGGAATTTCTTTGTGATATTATTTTGTGTGTTGGTGAAATTTAAAGTTTTAAATGTATTATAAGGCAATGTTAATGTTATTTTTGTTTTGTTTAGTATGTAGAACAAAAAACATCTGGAAAACTAAGTTATGTTACTGAGAGCATGGGAACTGTTTCAGAAATGTTCATATTATTCAAAAGTGGTGTATGTTATCCCTATTGTTTTTGATTGTAATAAAAGAATATAAGACTACTTATATAGTTATACCTTATTTATATTCCTAACAATGATATTTGTGTACGATATGCCTTGTTAAGTCTTACATAAATTATGCCGCGTGGCGGCCGATAATGGTAAGGATTTAGAGGCCTGTAAATAAATAAATATGTATGGGAGAGTATATGGTTTTATTTCATAACATATTAACTACTATCTAAACAACATAATTAAACATTAAAAACCATAGGTCATCGCTTTCATTTTTGAACTATGAGCTTCGAAGTGCAACACGAGCTTAAAAAGACGTTATCTCAATTTCAACACAGTGTAACTCAACACCAGAGCCGTAATCTGTAAATAGAAAGATAACATTGTTTAGCTAATTTCATAGGCAACTAAATAAATATAACACTTGACACCCTTTCAATACAAACTTTAGTCACAAGAACCGATTAAGTGGAACACGGCGCGCGCGTCGATAACGCAAAAAACAGTGGGGCACTTTACGGGTGGTCGGTATTTGTGCCGGGGCAATCTAGACGGTCTCGCTCGCGAGTCGCGGGCACTCTGGACGCCGCGGGCGCCATGACAGGGGCATACGAGCGGTTATAGATAAATTACACTCAGACACAGAACAAATGATCGTGCTCATCACATAATTATTTGACTTGAGTGGGAATCGACCCCTCGACCCCGTCTAATTGCCCTCTACCAAAGTATAGTCTACCATAATAAATTCAAAAATAACAATATTCGTTTTCTGACACTCTTTAGCTTTAATTTGCTTTTCTGCTGTCAAAATATTCTCGTTTCGTATTTTTCCCTTCCATACTAAGCGTCTTGTCTTTGCATCGCTTCTAGCAGCTTAGCTGTCTGTACAATACTGTGACTCATTATTCTACTGTACTTAAAGAAAGAATAAGGCGATCTAAAATTAAAATATTTGAATATTTTTTTACTTGAAACATTTCACACACGGCCATCTTATCACAAATAAAGCGGAGCCTGTAATATGGTGAAATGAAATGAAATGAATATTCTTAAATACATAATGATGTAATATGGACAAATTACATGCAGACAAAGAGCAAATAATTGCGCTCTTCCCGCTATTATTTGTCTTCGTTGGGAATCGAACACACGACCTCTGGCTTAGCAATCATGATCGCTAACCACTATGGTCACTAGACCAACATGACCGTATATTCATCATCATCATCATCATCAACAGCCCTTAACAGTCCACTGCTGGACATGGACCTCTCCTTAGAAAGGAGGGTGTGGCCTACTATACCACGCTGGCCAGACGGGTTGGCATAGGATTTGGGGTGCTGGGCTAGAAAACCTCCTCGTGGTGCACCCTGGAAACGCTGGCGATGGTACTGTTCCCTCCTTGTCCTCTTGGAGGAGAGGATTATCGCCAGCGGCCAATATTCTAGCAGAAGAGGCAGCCGTTCATCGGCTCTCGGGCAAGGCCTGGTCCAGCAGGGTGGGCGTGTCTGCCGGTTGCCCTGCTGGCTCTTCGCTCTTCGGAGCATGGAGGAGGAAACCTCGGTAAAAAACCTGATGGCGGGGCCCTGTAGGGGCCACAGTTTCTCCGCTGATAGCGGTGGAGAAAGGAGGACGGGCTCGGCGTGTACTGACACTACCACCGAGCAGGCAGGGGGACGTAGTCTCCCTGTCAACCGTCGGCATATCGCAATCCCGAGAAGAGCGCTGTGGTTAAGTCTCGCGGCTCTGATCGGGGGCGAGGGTCTTGGCTTAACCGCCCGGACCGCGAGGAAGATAACCTCTCTAAAAAATTCCCCGAATCCCGTGTTCTGGTGCGTGGCCAGGGGATGCATGGCTGATGGGAAGTTCAGTCGCGAGCGCACTCCAAGCCGAGGTACCTGCGGACCCCTCGGTTGGGTTAAAAACTTACGCTTGCCCGGGTAATGGGGGATCTCTGCCCGGGTGGACCTTTAGTTCTCCCCCACTCGTGGGATTATTATGGAAAAACTTAATTTAACCAAAAGCAAAACGATCGGAAAAAAAAACACAACAGACCAAGGCAAGCCTAACGGACAAGGAGACGAAGAGGAGGAATAGTGGAGTGGATGGGTCATCCACGGAGGGTGAGATAGCGTCGGGAACGCCTATCTCGATGGGGCTCCCAGAAGTCAGTCTGACGCTGGTCTCTGGGAGCCGAAGAGCATCGGATCGTATTCGTTCCGGATCCGCCGTCTCCTCGGATGGCGCGGAGGCCATGGAGGCGGAGCGAAGCGACAGCCGAAAACGCGGACGCTCAGGGGACGTGGAAACCGACACGTCCGGCGAAATGATGCCACCAAAGGTGGCAAGCAGTCGCCGAGGGAGGGCGCGTAAACCGGCCTCGGTCTCGACCCCGTCAGGCTCCGCGTTCTCAAACGCGGAGTCCTACAGGAGCGTGCGAGTGGACGGCGAGGCCGTAGCGGAGGAGGAGATCGCGGATCTCCTGCTCAAGGTTCGGGAGCCGGTGGGGGGAAATGCCCCCCAGGCTCCCGTGTCCGTGCAGGAGAGGGCGAAAGCGGCGGTGGCCGTCATCGACAAAGTGGCCACCAAATCCGTGAACCTTAAGGGCTCGTTTGTGAGGGCCCTTAAGGACTCCTCCTCCGCTTTGTCGGAGGTCGTGGAGGGCCTAGCGGGCGACGTCTCTCGCCTGCAGGTGGCCAACGAGAGGCTGACGGAGCGGGTGAATGAGCTGAGCGCTCAGTTCGCCCGCTTCCAGGCGAACCTCCCCGAGCGGGAAGCCCCGTCCGCGTCCCAGCCTGCCCCTACCACCAACTCAGGGGCATTTGACTCCCAACTGCGAGAAATCCTCATCGCAGTTGGGAATATGCTGGACGGACGCCTGGCTGGCCTGGAGGCGAGACTGCCCCCTGCGCCGAGTATGCGCCCCCCGCTCGCGTCGGCACAGCGGCCTAAGGCCGCCGCTCCGACCGCGCTCCCCGTTGTGGGAGGCCGCGTTTCCTACGCGGCGGCGGCGTCTGCCCCTACTCCATCGGCTCCACAAAAGCCGAGGAGGGGGGCCAAGGCACCGGCCCAGGCGCCGGCCAAGGCACCGGCTAAGGCGCCGGCCAAGGCACATCTCCAGGCGCCGGCCAAGACGGGGCCTAAAACAGCGCCGAGGAGCGGAGTGGCATTCCCTCCGCTCCCCACTCCGACACCCCTGCCGGGCCCCTCCGCACCTGCCCCCTCCAACGAGGGTTGGCAGGAGGCGAGGGGCTCCAAGAAGTCCCGAAGGCGGGCCAAAAAGGCTGCCAAAAAAGCAGCCCAGGCCCAGCCTTCGCCACCGGTGGCAACGGCCTCCACAAAGAGGCCGCGGAAGCTGCAGCCGCCCAAAACCGCGGCTGTAGTGGTGACCGTGTCCCCGGAGGCGGCGGACGGCGGGCTGTCCTACGCGGCCGTCTTCAAAAAGGCCCGGGACAGCCTCGCCAACAATTTTGGAACGGTGGGGGTCAGAATGCGCCTCGCCCAGACGGGAGCTCGAGTCCTCGAGTTCCCTGGGGCTGAAGGCGCTAAGACGGCGGACACATTTGCCGAGAAGCTGCGGGGACTCTTTACAGCCACGGATGGTGTAAAGATCGCCAGGCCTACTAAGTGCGCAGAGCTGCGCATATCGGGCCTGGACGACTCTGTGACGGCCGAAGATGTCCGCGCTGTAATCCGGGAGAAGAAGAAGGCGTCGGCCAAAGTATTGGCCGACGCCGGCAGGCTGCTCATCGGTTTCGTGAGCGCCAGGATCACAGTCCTGGCGGCGAGACCGATGAGATGCTACAAATGCCTGGCATCGGGACACACGCGCGTCAAGTGCGACAGTTGTTTTGACTGCGGCGGACTGTGTTTCCGCTGCGGTCAACCGGGGCATAAGGCGGCAGACTGCTCTGCCGCCCCTCACTGCCCAGTGTGTGCGGCGGGCAATAAGCCCGCCAATCACCAGATGGGGCAGAGAGGCTGCAAGCCTCCCCGCAGTTCTCGGCAGACGTCGGGGGTTAGCCAGTCGACCCAGGCTGCCTCCGACGTAGTTCGTGCGTCGACGTCGTCGCCCATGGAGGAGGTTGTAGAGACGATCCAGTAATGGATCAAGTCTCCAACCTCCTGGTCCAGACGAACCTGAACCACTGTGCCGCGGCGCAGGATCTCTTCCTGCAAACCATGGCACAGTGGTCGATAGGTGTTGCCGTAGTCGCGGAGCCCTATTCTGTCCCTCCCCGTCCAAACTGGATGGGTGACTGGGACGGCTCCGTGGCAGTCGTCGGTTCCACGACGGCTCATTCCCCGCCCTTGTCGCTAAGAGACAAGGGCACTGGATATGTTGCCGTCGAGTGGGGGGGGATCACCATATATGGTGTCTATTTCTCCCCCAACCGGAGTTTGAACGACTTCGAGGTTTTCCTGACCAACTTGGAGACCTCGATACGGCGACTAGCGTCTGGGCACGTCCTTGTGCTGGGGGACTTCAACGCAAAGTCCATTGCGTGGGGTTCCCCCAGGACGGACGCCAGGGGCGAGGCCGTAGAGGAGTGGGCGGCCTCGGTGGGCCTCTGTCTTCTCAACAGAGGCTCCACCAACACGTGCGTGCGACAGCAGGGGGGGTCGATAGTGGACCTTTCGTTCGCTACCCCTGTCCTCGCCGCACGAGTAAGGAACTGGTGTGTCCTGGAAGAGGTTGAGACGCTCTCGGATCACCTGTATATCCGATTTGAGCTCTCCCGGACCCAGGACTCCAGTAGGGGTCACGTGGCGCGGCGTTTATCCCGCTTTCCGCGGTGGGCTGTTGCCAGGCTGAACCGGGACCTACTAGAGGAGGCAGCCATAATTCACTCGTGGCTGTCTCCTCAGGCTCCGACCGAGGAGGTCGACGTGGGGGCTGGCCGCTTTCGCGATGCGATTACGCATGTATGCGATGCGGCCATGCCCCGCGTTCGAGGTCGTCGGCCTCCAAGGAAGGAGGTCTACTGGTGGTCCCAGGAGCTGGCGGACCTCCGTGCGGCCTGTACACGTGCCCGGAGGTCCTACACGCGCAGTCGGCGGCGTCACCGTGGAGACGGTGAGGAGGACCGGCTTCATGAGGAGTACCGACGGGCGCGGAAAACTCTGAAGCTGGCCATTAGCCGCGCCAAAGAGGAAAAAAGACAGGAGATGCTGGAGGGTCTTAATCGTGACCCCTGGGGTCGCCCTTACCGCGCGGTGCGACAAAAGCTCCGCGCGTCGGGCCCCCCCCTTACGGAGACTCTCCAGCCCAGCTTCCTGCGAGAAGTGGTTGAGGGCCTTTTCCCACAACGGGCGGAACACACTCCCCCGTCGATGGCCTCCCTGGCCGGAGACGACGGGGAGCACGGGGAGGACAATGTTCCGCCCGTCCGGGAATCGGAGGTAGGGGCGGCTGTTCTACGGATCCGTTCCAAGAACACCGCCCCTGGGCCAGACGGGGTACCGGCCCGAGTGCTGGCCCTCGCCCTCAACCACATGGCAGACCGCCTCGGGGAGGTGTTCGACGCTAGCTTGGCGTCGGGACGCTTCCCTGAGTGCTGGAAGAGCGGGAAGCTGGTCCTATTGACGAAGCCGGGACGGCCTGCCGATTCGGTCGCGGCCTATAGGCCCATCGTGCTGCTGGACGAGGCGGGCAAATTGTTTGAGAGGGTTCTTTCTGCCCGCATCGTCCGGCACCTCTGCGAGGTGGGCCCCGATCTGTCGGACGCCCAATTTGGTTTTCGGGCGGGGCGTTCGACGGTCGACGCCGTGTTGCGCCTGAGGGCCGTGACCGAAGAGGCCGTGAGCTGTGGCGGCGTGCTGTTGGCGGTGTCATTGGACATCGCCAACGCATTCAATAGTCTGCCATTCAGCTGCATCAGGGAAGCACTCCACTATCATGGGGTGCCAAAGTACCTGAGGCGGCTGGTGGCAGACTATTTAGAGGAGCGTACCGTCGTGTACGAGGACCGAGAAGGTAATCTGAGGTGTCGGCCCATGTCGTGCGGTGTTCCACAGGGGTCTGTTCTTGGACCCCTCTTGTGGAACATAGGGTACGACTGGGCCCTTCGCGCCGATTTCCCCCCCGGGCTGGGTGTAATCTGTTACGCAGACGATACCCTCGTGACAGCCCGGGGGGCAAACTTCCAAGAGGCGGCGCGCCTGGCCACAAGGGGAGTCTCCCTGGTGGTCGGGCGCATTGAGGCGCTGGGCTTACGGGTGGCCCTAGATAAGACGGAGGCCCTGTTATTCCATGGGCCCCGTCGTGGTCCACCCCCTGGCGCCTCCATCGTGGTCAACTCGGTCCTCGTACCGGTTCGGGCCCAGATGAAATATCTGGGCCTGATCCTCGACGGTAGGTGGCTCTTCGACGAGCACTTCCGACAGCTTGCTCCAAAGCTGGTCGGCGCTGCGTCTGCCCTAGGGCGACTTCTGCCCAATATGGGTGGACCCAGCGTCGCGACAAGACGGCTGTACACGGGGGTTGTCCGGTCAATGGCACTGTACGGTGCACCGGTGTGGGCGGCGGCTCTGACCGCCCAGAATAGGGTACGCCTCTGGCGCCCTCAGAGGGTAATGGCGGTCAGAGCCATACGCGGTTACCGCACCGTTTCGACGGAGGTGGCATGCGCGTTGGCCGGAACTCCCCCGTGGGATTTGGAGGCGGAAGTGCTCGCCGAAGTTTATCGGCGAGTGGCTGACTTCCGGGCGGAGAGCGGATTTCGCCCTCCGCCCGAGGATGTGCGCGAGTGGCGCGAAGCCGCTCGCCGAGCCACGATGGCTCGTTGGTCGTTCCGGCTGGAGACTCCACGCGCTGGCTTCGCCGCCGTGGAGGCTCTCCAGCCGGTCATCGCCGAGTGGGCAGGGCGGCAGCACGGGACCCTTTCCTTCCGGCTGACGCAGGTGCTTTCCGGGCACGGTTGCTTCGGAAAGTACCTGCACACGGTCGCAAGGAGGGAACTGAGTCCCGCCTGCCACCACTGCGACTGCAGTGAGGACTCGGCCCAGCACACGCTGGCGGTCTGCCCCGCATGGGCAGCGCAGCGCCGGGCCCTCACTGCAGTCATCGGAGTGGATCTCTCGCTACCGGCCGTAGTACGCTCCATGGCCGGTAGCGACAGTTGTTTTACCGCGGTCGCTACCTTCTGCGAGGTAGTAATCTCGCGGAAGGAGGCGGCGGAGAGGGCCCGGGAGGACGACCTCCACTCGGACCCGATCCGCCGCCGGCGAACCGGGCGGCGGAGGCCCGCCTACCACAGCCTCATGCCGCCCTGAGTGTGGCCGCGGGTGGACGGGGTGGGTTTCCCCTCCACCCGCATTAGTTGGCCAGCCGCGAGGGGGCGGCGTCCGCGTGTGCCGGACGTCGCCTAAAGAGAGGAAAATGTATTGAGACGGAGCCCGCACCAGGAGCGGGCTGGCGCTAGGAGGGGTCCGGATGTCTTAACAACAGCTGTTCCCGGATCCCTCCTGTTACAGGCGCAGAGTGGCACACCGTGTGGTTTTAGTCGGTCCGAGTCCGACACACCACCCCGCCGCAAACCCCGGAGGGGTGACGGTCCGAGGGGATTTCCACACGTTAAAAAAAAAAAAAAAAAAAGGATTTGTGTCAAGTTTTCCTTCTCTTTGCAGTATTGTTGTCCTGCGTAGTTTGCTCCCTTAGTCGGCTCTTACGACACCCACGGGATGATTGGGGATGGTGACAATCCGTATTCTTAATCCGTCACCAAACGGACCGTTTATTATAATGTTATAATTATTAATCCACAGAACTCAGATAGTTCTGTAGATTAATAATTATCTATCAAAATAATTACGTCACAATACTTTATTAAAACCACTACACACAGGTGTTAATATAATATGCGCATTAAAGTGTCGTAAAACAAATAAAAATTGTGTGCATACTAAGAGATATTCATAATATGCAGACAACTGTCTGATTCCCTGATAAAATTTGCAGAATTTCGATTTCATAGTAAACATATACATGATTCTAAGATTTATTGAAATTTGAATCTTATGACTTAAGAAATAGAGTATACACAAAACGCATTGTTTTGCTACACCGCATGCCAGTCTAGTCGGAGAGACTGTACGGGTGTAAGTGGGGGATGAGGAGCGCGGGAGGGGAGGCGGATGGGGATCGATCGTTCGCCCGCACACGCCCTTGACCCTCGTCTACATCATGGTGGCCTGGCCATGTGTGTGTGGTGGGGTGTCGAGGCTTCTCCTGCAGTGTTATATTTGACGCGAATATTCCTATACATTGTTGATATCTGTACGTGCTTTGAATCTGGTGATTTTCATTTCCTCTCAGTTATTTTTATTGAAATCATAATATTCATATTATTCATACGATTATTCGTACAATTATTTATTTATAATTGAAAAAGGCATACTGTAATAAGCTGATTAGATTAAAAAGTTCTGGCTACAGACTTTTATTTTAAATAAGGAATTCCATTTTTTCCATTTTTTTAAGTTAACACTTAACATTCATTGACATTCTTCAATACCTACCGGGAGGTACATACTAAATAAATAACAAAATCGGTGGACAAACATAGAACTCTTCACATGATAGTAATAATCATACCTACCTTGACACTTCTCAGACATGGCTGTCTGATACCAGACTAGGCGGAGCCTGCTAATCAGACTACTGACAAACGTACGTAAATATTTCTAAATACACACATATTATAGATAAATTACACCCAGTCACAGAACAAATACTTGTGTTCAACAAACAACTATTTGTCCTCGATGGGAATCGAAGCCACGATCTCTGACTTAGTAGTCAGGGTCACTAACCACTAGATGAACAGGACGGGATTTATAATTAAATATCAATGTTAGATAGTGTGCATATTGTGCGCTGTCGTAGCCTTCCTCCGATAGTTGTGAAACGGAATACAGCAAAGGGCGTAAGGTGTCTTTGATCCAAAGAACAAAATGACGACTGAAAATAATAATTTTACGCGAGCTAGTCTATACGTGTGTTGAGAACAAACTATTTTCAAGCACCTATTCTCGTCTTACGACAAGCTAATACTTAATAGCATTTATGCCTGCATTTTCGAATTTTCATTTGTATTGTGTAGGTTGATAATCACGCTGTTTTAAGCCAATACTTACCTTAATTTTTATACCTCCTATTTTCTATAAGATTTGATTGCACAGATGGCGTAGCGGTTTAAGCGCTCACCTCACCGCTTCCTACCTGCACTGGACTGAGTGTTGTGTTGTGAGATCGATCGCCACATGGGATAACACTGTGTGATCCACAAACTGTTGTTCTGAGTCTGGGTGTTTTTTGTGTCCGTTTCATGTATGTTTGTAAAGTCCTCCGCGACACAGGATATATTCCTAGTGCGTGAGTTGTATTTAAAAAGAAGGCTTAATAAATGGCGTTGTCACAAAAAATAAAATTATTTGCTAAGGAATTCTAAATTGATAGTTTATGTTACCTCAGTGGCTTGCTGAAACACCTCCCCCGTACTTATAATTCACAAAACAACAAAAAATTCCATGCCTTTATCTATAAAATGAGGGTGTAGTTCCCTTAATCTAACAGTTGCTTTGCTTATTGATAACAATATCGCTTATCATAGTTATTATTCTCACTTCTACGTATTTCAAAATTGGCATCTAAAAAGTAATTGTCCGTAAAAAAATTTCGTAGGTACATTTTTTATGAGAATTTTCTAAGAAATAAGGGCGGACTTTATTAAAGTGTGTTAACCTAATAGTCGTTTGAGATTGCCATAAAAACAGTAAAAATTTGATTTTAGAATGTTAAATAAACTCAAGAATATCAAACATACCACCCAAGTATTTAGCTGCACTCCGCCAGTGACGTCACGTACGTACCAGACGAAATGAACGCGCAGTGGGTGTGTCGTTCTAATTATAAATGGGTATTTTCGGATTTCGACTAAACATTGCTCTAGGTCAGCTATTAAAAACTATACTGAACGTCCGTAGGGACGTAATGCATCATTGTCTATGGATTATATCATAACAAGACTGTGAGTTTTTTTTAATATTTTGACAACTGGCATTTTGTGATTTTGACCCGGAGTTAACTTATTCTTGATTTCAACATTTTGAGTCGGTATAATAATAAACATTCAGTTTACACAACGAGTATAACCACTATTTTGTTCACATTAGTTTAGAGATAAGCTAAAAAAATACATACACATCTGTTACAAATCATACACCTTTTTTGCTAAAATTGCTTCTACATGTGCTTCAGTCATGAACGCGTAATTCTAAAACGATCCGCTTTTTGTATCTAGTGGCATACGTATATATTTTTTTGTATCAGAGTTTAGTAAGGGTTTATACGGAGGAGCAAAATATAATACAGATATATATTTATTACTTGTTTCTAGCTTTTTTTTGTTTGCCTAAAACCATAAGGATCTCCGGGGGCGGCCAATAATAATAATATTATCGCTTTCGAAACAGCCTCGAAACTCAAAACATATGACTTAATAAATTACTATATTAGATAACGTTGATCCTCAAAAATGATTAAGGAAATGATTGATATGGAAATTAATTCCCTATATATCACTTGAGCAGAAATCAACGGAAAAACTGTATGAATATGTTCATAAAATTACAATTATTATTAGAAATAGAATTGGAATCGATCGACCGTAACGTTTTGCATATTGTTATAAGAATAATTGCTAGGTATTATGAAAAAATGATAACGCTATATTTATAACAAATAAATACTACAAATTAACTCAACAATTTTGATAAAGTATGGTCTTATCTAAAGTTTTAGAAATCAAATGAATACACTAAATTTATCGCTTTTATGAATACGAAAATTTTGATGGATGCTTGTTACTCAATAACTCAAATATGGCTGAACCGATCTTGCTGATAGGTAGATCTGGCAGAGCACATAGGCTTCATTGTATTCCGGAAAAAAATATCGACTTAATCGACATTAACGTTGACAACAGACAAAAGATAGTATTTAATATGTATGTCAAGCCATTTACGCGATATGATTTCATTTAATGCGAGTGTAACAAACAATAATTACCTTAAAACCTTCCTTAAGTGCTAAAATTAACTAGTCTGCGAGGCTAATATCAAGTTAGCACCCTGAAAAAGCTTTTAGGTGTGGTTTTCCTGATCCAATACAATTATGGCAGCCGCACCCACATTGTAATTTGTATATTCCATTAGTAATATTAAATATCGACCGTTGTATTCAGTCATTATTCCAATTAGTAACAATGTAGGTATCACCATTGAAACTGATTACTTTCCTCTTTATTACTAGGTAAATGTGACGGCAATTGTTAATTAGAAATGCTAAGCTATGACGACTGCAAATTATGCAGAAAATAATCATATCAGATTCCTTGTTTTTCAAATCCATCCATCACAGTTAAAGAGAACCTTTAACTGTGATGGATGGATGGTTTGCCAGTATTTGAGTATATGCATGTTAATATACATATTTTAGTGTATATTTATTAGTGATGAGATTGTAACAGTATTATTAGACACATATAAAGTTTACGGGCCGGTGTATAGGAGACCGTTACCGGCGCCGCATTTAATACTAAAAAAGGTCAATGACTAGCAAGGCAGTTATATGCTTCAGCAAAAGCTCTAGATGGACGGCGAGGAATGCACAATCATGTTATTATTTTTGACATAAATTACGGACCCTCTTTTTATGTTTTGTCATCTGTGAGTGAGATAGAAGGACAGTGAGCAAGAAAAAGCCAGATTTATACCGGTATATAAATTATCTTTTATTAAAAATGGTCAGGTTAGTAACGATTTATAAATAAATAAAAATCTTTGTCAAAAACAACGGAAGCGACAACGTTCCGCTTCAAATACGTAATATGCATATTACGATACCTTACAACCTACTTTAAATACTGAACTTAAATAAAAGATCACAAGCGTAGTTTGAGCCGCCCTTTCAGGGGCCTGGTGTAGGGCATCATAAATTAGGAATAGTCTTACTTGCCGCTTAGAAGCACTTCCTGTGCACGATTGAGGGGCCAGACTCATCGTACTCCTGTTTCGAGATCCACATCTGTTGGAAGGTCGATAGGGAAGCCAAGATAGATCCACCGATCCATACGGAGTATTTCCTCTCTGGGGGTGCGATAATCTTGATCTTCATTGTGGACGGGGCCAGGGCTGTGATTTCCTTCTGCATACGGTCGGCGATGCCCGGGTACATTGTGGTACCACCGGACAGAACTGTGTTGGCGTACAAGTCCTTACGGATGTCGACGTCACACTTCATGATTGAGTTGTAGGTAGTCTCGTGGATACCGTTGGCTTCCATACCCAGGAATGAAGGCTGGAAGAGAGCCTCAGGGCAACGGAATCGTTCGTTTCCAATGGTGATGACCTGTCCGTCGGGAAGTTCATAGGACTTCTCGAGGGAGCTGCTGGAGGCAGCGGTGGCCATCTCCTGCTCGAAGTCTAGAGCGACGTAGCAGAGCTTCTCCTTGATGTCACGTACAATTTCACGCTCAGCAGTGGTGGTGAAAGAGTAACCACGTTCGGTGAGAATCTTCATTAGGTAGTCTGTGAGGTCACGACCGGCCAAGTCCAGACGGAGAATGGCATGAGGTAGAGCGTAACCCTCATAGATGGGCACCGTATGCGAGACACCATCACCGGAGTCAAGCACGATACCGGTTGTACGACCAGACGCGTACAGTGAGAGCACGGCCTGGATGGCGACGTACATGGCGGGAGTGTTGAAGGTCTCGAACATGATCTGTGTCATCTTCTCTCTGTAAAACAAACAGTAAAGTTAGCTTGCGAGGCATTGGGAGAAGTAGACATGAGACTTAATAATCGGCCGCTGCCTGGAGGTCGTATTAGTGGGTACACATACCTGTTGGCTTTGGGGTTGAGGGGGGCTTCTGTGAGTAGCACGGGGTGTTCCTCGGGTGCGACACGGAGTTCATTGTAGAAGGTGTGGTGCCAGATCTTCTCCATATCGTCCCAGTTGGTGACGATTCCGTGCTCGATGGGGTATTTGAGCGTGAGGATACCTCTCTTGCTCTGGGCCTCGTCACCTACGTACGAGTCCTTCTGTCCCATACCGACCATGACACCCTGGTGACGAGGCCTGCCCACGATCGAGGGGAACACGGCACGAGGCGCGTCGTCACCGGCGAACCCGGCCTTGCACATACCGGAGCCATTGTCTACTACCAACGCAGCAACTTCTTCGTCGCACATTGTGAATTAGGTCTGAAATGAATTAAAAATTATATGAAAACTGTAACTATATTGTACCTATAGCTTCAATTCTTCGTAAAAGAGCGTCAATCTCCAAATATCGCAAGTAGTTTTTGCACAAATCCAAAACAAAAATCACTTCACTATTGTGTTACGTAAGCAAAGTTATATAACATGACTATGTTGTTTTCACAAACGCCGAACAATTCGAAACACTGCTTTTAAACGCCATTTTAATTTATTTAAAAAATACTTTATAATTTAAACGTTTAAAGATCACAATCTATTTATAAAATGAATAAAACTTACTGTTAATATATAAAGTTAGTGACTAGGTACGACTCGTGCTGCTTCGGTCAAGCACACCTTACTAAATGAGAACTGGCTCTTGAGGATAACTATATAAAACCGGCCTTATCAGAGTTTACACCTATCGGCAACAATTTTATTCCGCCAATCGTGAGCCGGCTATATTTTTGTCACCATATATGGTAAAGCACTCGCTTCTATCCACGAACATGTGTTGATAACGTACGATGGCTTGATAAGAGATAAAATAGCACAAATGTGTGAGTCGTTACGGTGCCTTCGAGCGCTCACGTACCGTATGCCACAAAATCACTCCGAGTCGCAGATATATCACTTTAAAACGCTGAAATTTCTCTTCAGCGCAACTGTACTTTCTCTATGAATCAGCTATATTGCACTAATTGCCGCAAACGTCTAACATTAACCTACAAATATTTAATTAGATACCTAACGTTAAATGTACTCTTAACATAATTAAATATGAAAAGATCAGAAAGCATTACTAACTTACGGTGTAAGTGAGAGATCTTACTTGGCAGGAGGTTGGTAACACGGACACCATTAATTAGCTCAAAAAATTATAAATTAAAGTGAGTTTACGAAAATTTATCAGCTCCTAAGTGGAGTTCATAGACCACACGTATCGCGGTCCTGACTAACTTTGAACTAAATCTATTGATTGACTTTATTTTACTACTCAGACACAAACCAGATCTGACTACGACGGTATTGTGACGCATAGTGTCACGTGAAAATTAAAACGTGACAATACTCGGAATTTATCGTAAACATTTAGTAATCTATAACATACAATATTCTTCTACTTGGTGATGTGGTACGGGGGTTTAAAAATCAATATCTTTGTGAGTGGATACACCCTTAGTCTAAATGTTTCCTAAATATGTATAGAGTAGAATAATATTGTGCAGTTGTCTGCGTGTATTGATTTTAGCCGCCCTTGCCGTTGCAGCGGTAGATAGGGTGGGCAATGGGTTTGCATGACTCATCCTACTGCACCCTTCTTGCCCTCGCTTGTCTCAATCACATTAATTTTATGTGTGTGTATTTACTGTCTGGCAAATATAAAATAAATGGATGGATTTTTGGGCCATATATGAAAAAATACTTGTATGGTTAAGTCTCATATAGCCTTTAAAATATTTGTAAACCTTGTAATTTGTTTTTGATCTTCAATAAGCTAGTCCCATATATCGAGGGGTGAAAAATAGTGATATTAACTAAGCGTTACTACACAATAAAATTGTTTCAATACTAAAAGAACTTGTTCAAAAATGACATAAAATGAAATAAGATAGCTGAGCTAGCCTTTGCAGCTTTTATGGTGTAGGGGGCAAACAAGCAGGGCTTCAATTCTGCAATTTTATGTTAACGTTATGTATTGAGATGCAATTAACAAGGGTCAAAATATCGATATTCTACTAAGATCAATTGACAGTTTCAATTGACTGTCGATATAATGGCAAAGGCTCATCAAGTGCGATATCCACAACATTGTCGAATCTGGAAAATTAAATATATACAAATTTAAAATGTATTAACTATTACAAAAAAATTGACGAAATTTGTATCATTATCAGTTTGTTACCAAGTCATCGGGAGACCATTGCTCTTATATAGTTAGTGGAATACGAAAAGTGCAAACCTTTTCCGACGACATTCCATCGATACAATATTAAAATAGCAGAATTGACCTGATTTTAAGTGACTTCTAATGCCGTTGGACATCCGCAACTCAAAAGAAACAGTGCGTTGTCACTTTTTGAGTGCAAGAGTGAGAGGCCTTATTACATACATTGTATGTATACAGTTTAGAATAAAAAATCGCCTATGTATGTGATACTGTATACACATACATAGAAGACATGTTTTTCTGCAAATAATTAGGTACATTGATTACGTTTTTAAGACAGTAAAATTACTTATAATTTCAGTGATTAAAATAAATTGTTTATTCGTTCCTATCCAAGTAATGAATGATAATGATAACAATTCGTTGTATTTATTCGATAACATGTTTTTTGCGATAAAAAATCCTAAAATTGTATCTCCACAAAAGTTCCTTTAAAATAAAACAGACATATCTAAATCCATGGGCCCACCCACAAAACAATTATTTATTTATCTATTTAATTTATAATGTAAAATAATGGAAATCTATGATCCATGGCCTTGTAATAAAATAGTCTACATAGGTTTAGATATGTAGGTGTGTTAGAGATAAATACGTGTACGATTTTTTCTCGATTCTTCACATTAAAAGAAATAGTTTTTTAAAAAAAAAAGCATTTAAAGTTTTATTTAAAAATTCTTATGTAACATCCATCCGCAAAAGTAATCAGAACAATTAATTCACACAAACCAGCGGGCATACTTTAACTTCAGAAATCAGTACTTATATGAACTTGTGATCGTCAAGAGCGAATCATTAGCCTTTAAATACTGAAAGGCGATAGTCTACCGATAAATTGCGGTCACTACCTTTTTAGTGCCAGCCAAAGTGGCAATACGTAACGCTTTCGGAATTACCTTGATATGCCTGTCTTGTTTATTATATAAACAATACAGAAACGGTAGCAGTCATCCTAATAAGAATAGGGATACCTAAAGCCAACGGGTATAGTGATTGGCAACTCATATCAGTATATTTTTAACAAATCTTATCATGTCGAAATTGAATTTTGTTTGTAAGTATTATGTAGTTTTTATGACAATACTATAATTTGACGTCTTGAAGCTGATCTGATGATGGGAGTCATGCGGTGGATTTTGTCAATGCCTATTACACCGCTCAAGTTTGGACTTATTTTGTTCATTTCGACGGGTCGGCTGAACTCTTTTTTACTTTTTTACACGGATCATGACGATTATAATGTGTTTTCATGTTTGACTGAACTATAATTATTATTTATTATTAAAAAATAATTAAAAACGTTAGATAGAAGTGGAATAAAATTTTAGGAAACAATTTAATAGTGTTATTTTTTTTGTTAAGGTATTTTTGTTAAGGTTATTTACATGAATGAAATCAACTTAAGTGTTAAAGTGAATAATTTAATAAAACCCTAAGGATGCCGTCATTCCTTGTTTTTATACGAAAAGGCACTGAAGCTACGTTTTTGACATTTATTAAACTAATTTGACTTGACAGTCTCAACCTTAATGCCATCCTTGATGATGTCTCATTCTAATAATAATTCAACATCAACAACATCAGCCTATAACAGCCTATAACAGTCCACTGCTGGACATAGGCCTCTCCTTAGAAAGGAGGTCATAATAATTATTATTTATTAATATCAAATGTTAGTCATGTAAATAAACTAATATGCAATAAATAACAAACAAGTCCACACATCCGGACTTCATATGTATTCATATGTCATATTAGATACTCACACATCCGTTCAATAACAGATGATAAAGCTTTGTATTCTGTGGCGATTTCTAATAATAATACATCTAGGAAAAACAACCCGCCATGCAGAATGACAAGTAATTAATGTTCCTACATTTATAAACTATTTTTCCTCAAACCAATGTCAAATCTACGTGTATTTTAAAATGGCGTATCAATGCGTACTTTACAATCAACTAACGTAAATAATAAATAAGGTTAACCTTCAAATGAGTCACTTTCTGAGAATTTTGGATGAGTCATAATCGATGTAATCGAATCAGGTGACGATTGACCGCGTCCACAGTTTTGATAGTCCTATTTGTTACATGATTTCACTGAGATGACACAGACAGCGGTTATTTGATGTATGAGCAAATAATAAGTTAGGTTATTCATCACTCCTTCTTTAAATTGGTGATTAAGCAAGTAATTTTTGAGTCCTTTTCAAATATTCCATTAAAAAAACTGTTTTGTATGCAGAACGCACACAAAACAGGAAATATTTAATAATAAATATTTTGCCTACAATAAAACCTATTTAGATACTTTAGTTATACATGTGCAGTAGTCATTTAAATTATTATTAACATAAATAAACCAATATATTATCCATTATTAGCATTTGCCTACGAGTACACTAGGGCTTTCATGTGTTTATAGGTACTCTTAACTGGAAAGGAAATCACTGGTACTCCGACGCACTCCGAATCATCTGCAGCTTACAGATTGCTCGCCAACCTGGCCTGAGGCGAGTCTGTCGGACCGGGAGAGTTCTAATACAATGGCTGCAATAGTATAATGATACCGAGAGCGAGAAAGTGTTTATAAGTACTGGTAAATGTTTATGACCTTGCGACCTTCCTAGATAAGTCGACTAATAACTTATATTTTAAACGAAATGGAAGAGAAGACAAACGAGGGTAACATGATGGAAGGTGACTACCGACGCCCGCCCATTAACGCCTGCCACTCAGGAGTCTCAAGCGCGTTGCCGCCCTTTGAGCAAAGAGTACGCTCTTTTCTTGAAGGTTTGAAAGTCGTATCGGTCCGGTAATACTCAAGTAATAATAATATAAGGAACTAGACCTGGTAAACAAATTAAAAAGTACAGGGAGCACATCTCATAGACATAACACAAAATTATTGTCTTATTCTTTGTTGTGAATGTTAGATTGTGTTTGTTTGTTAATGTGTGACTTAACCGGATAAAGGTATTTACTTCTCCAATGATCATTCATCATTATTATCGTTATTGATGACATCTTCATCCTCATAAATCCACATCAGCACCATCATCTATAAGAGAACGTGTAAAGCTGAAGATAAGACAAAACCGATCATTTCTTGTTACTCATTCCATAAAACTAACTAATATATGTACGTAAGTAACTGCACGGATTGTGTATTGCTTTAAGCGGTCACCTCGCCGCTTCCCACTGCGTTGAGTTGCGGGTCGATCCCCACGTGTGACAACACTTTGTGTGATCCACAAATTGTTGTTCTGAGTCTGGGTGTTCTTTTTGTCAGTTTCATGCATGTTTGTGAAAAGTATACTCCTAGTATACTTTTCACAAACACACAACATGCATGAAACTGACGGGTCTGCAGGAATTGTCTTTTTCACTTTCTGTTGCTACCCCTTATCAGTTACTTGGAAATATAAATAACGAAGGGTGAAATTTTGCTTCACATTTGAATGCGAACAGGAAGAAAAAATACATCCTTAAAAAAAGAATTTTCAAAATCGATTTAAAAATAACGGAGTATTCAGGTAACAAACAAAAAAAAAACATAAGCCGAATTGAAAACTCCTTGTTTTTTCGAAGTCGATTAAAAATATGGTTTAAATACATTGTCATTGCTTGATAAGATATCTTAAAGCGTATGAACTAACATCTATCATTATCTGAATGCGGGCTGACGTCAGGTCTCCGCAATTATTGTAAATTCCTTGGCAATATACTCGTATGTAGTATAACATGATGTAATTACGTCAATGCACTTTTTAATCAAATATCTAGGTTGATAACTGTAACACCATGTGATAGCTTGAAGATTGAGGAAAACTCACCTGATTTTAGTTTTCGATTTAAAATGGCTTACATAGATAGGTAATTATGTGTCACTCGATTAAATATCGACTT